ATCTATTGCTGCATAACAAAGTACCCCAAAACTTAGAGGTGTAAAACAACAACCATTCTATTGTTTTGTGTTTTCATAGTTTCCATAGATGCATGGTACTGTGGATCAGGAATCTGAGCAGGGTTTGGAAAGCTGGTTCCATGTGCCACATAGTGTCACTGTTGTATGTGGGCTGAACCCGTGGGGGTGGGAGTGACGATGGGTCCACTCACACGTTGGTGTTTGACAGGGAAACGTAAGTCTGGGCTTACCTGGCTGTTCAGTGATGCACCGGTACATGGTCTCTTCACCATGGCAGCCCAGAGAGAAGAGCCCAAAGGAGAAAGAAGGAGAAGCTGCTGGGTTGTTTTTGATTTTGTTTGTATAGTATATTTTTTTCTATTATTTTACTTTTAAGCTTTTTATGTTTTTATATTATAAATGGAATTATTTCAGGCACCAAATAGTTCAGCCTTGCTTTTCATCCAACTGACGGTATCTTTTACTAATATGTTTAGACCATTTACATTTAACAGAAATGTCTTAGTCTGGGTTCTCTCGAGAAGTAAAACCAAAGAAGCTTATGTCTGTAGATATAAAGAAAAGTTGATATCAAGAAAACAGCTCACACAGTTGAAGAGGTGGTCAGGTCCCATGTCCGGGTCAGATGAACCAAGATCTGCAAGTGGGATGGCAGGACACCAGGCAGATAGGCAGGCAGGTACTGCAGTGGGGAAGGCAGGCTGCTGATGACTCCCATGATTGGCAGATAACAGAACAGGCCATTGGCTCAAGTCCAAAAAACCAGAAGTCAGAGCCATATGCAAGATCCAGACCTAGCAGAGAGCAAGCTAGCTTGGCCTAAGTATCTCATATACTGGAAGCAGGTCACACCTCTAAGAAAAATTCCTCTCAGTTGATTGGCTGCTTGTAACAGATAGCATCATAGAATTGATTACATTATGTTAGATTTCATCATGGGGATACCATGAAGGATTCTGGTCCGGTCAAACTGACAAAAAAAAAAAAAAAAAAAAAAACCCAAAAAACTTAACTATCACAGTTAACTATTGGTAGGATAAGCACTGGACTGCTAACTACAAGGTTGACAGTTCAAACCCATCAGACACTCTGTGGATATAAGATGAGGCTTTCTGCTCCTATAAAGATTTGCAGCTTGGGAAATCCTACATAGGGTAACTATTAGTTGGAGTCGACTTGAGGGCAGTTGTTTGGTTTGGGTACTGTTTGCTACAGTGGAATTAAAAATCTACCAGTTTGTTCACTGTTTTCTGTATGCACCCTCTCTTTTTTCTCTTGTTGTTTTCTTTACTTTTGTCTTACTGCTTTTGGATTAATTAAGTATTCTTAGGATTCCATTATTTTTCCATTCTGCTGTATTATTTACACCTCTTTTTCAAAATTGTTAGTATTGCTCTGGGGTTTAAAATTTACATCATTAAATTAGTTACAGTGTACCTTAAAATACCTAGTCCTGGTGTGGCACTGTGGGTAAATGTGTAGTACTGCAAAGTTGGTTTGAACCACAAGGCAGGCAGTTCGAACTCACCAGCTGCTTGTCATAAACCCTAAACAGGGTCAGTATGGGTTGAAACCGACTGGGCAGCACTTCACAACAACAGCCTTAAAATACATGCCACATAGAAAACAAGACACTTATAACAATGGGCTTCCATTGCCTTCCTGTAGTCTTTTATGCTATTGTACTTGATCATCATTTTTTGTCTCACATGTGCTATAAAACCACAATTAACTGCTACTATTTGGACAATTATCTTTGAGAGTGATTCAAAATAAGCACACACACACACACACAATTACAGATGTGCATCACATGTTCATGGAAACGTTTTATCATCTTTTATTTCCTCTTACTCCTTCGTTCTTCTCTTTTCCTTCCTTTTCTTTTTAATTGCCTTCCCTGTCACCTAAGTTAGCATGTGTTCAAAGAAAGCAAGTCAGACGGTACTCTGTTGTGATCCACAGGGGTTTTTTCATCAGCTGATTTTCAGAAATCAATCATCAAGCTTTTCTGCCTCGTGTTTCATAGTCCAGAAGCTCCACTGAAATCCATCTAAAATGGGTGACCCTGCTGAGATTTGAAATATCAGTGGCATAGCTTCCAGCATCACAGCCACACACAAGCCACTGCAGTATGACAGACTGACAGATGGGTGGTAGAAGAAATGCATGATCATTAGAAGATTTAAAAATGTTTGTCCCTCGTGACAGTCAAGGAGAAATGTTTGTCTTTAAATGAAGAAACAACGTGACCATGGCCATACGTATGGAAGGGCCATAAATACATACACCTTGTTTTGTTGTTAGGTGCCGACTCATACATACACCTACTCTTCACTTACTGAGTGTCGCATCCAACATTCTGCATTTATGATGGTAGTAAAGCAATCTACTGTTTGACTGCTTAGGTCATTAACGTAGTTCAGCATTAACAAACACGAAAGTGTGAGACAGAAGTAAAACTGGTTGTGATGACAACTTGGGTGGTTCTTACTTCTCAGTGATTTGGCAGTTGTTATGTCACGGTGTAACTTGGCAGTTATGTTGTGGTGTAATATAACAGTTATGTCATGGTGTAATATAATAGTTATGTTATGGTGTAACTTGTCAGTTATATCATGATGTAAGTTGACAGTTATGTCATGATATAATTTAGCAGCTATGTCATGGTATAACTTGGCAGTTATGTCACATTGTAACTTGGCAGTTATGTCATGGTGTAATATAACATTTATGTCATGGTGTAACTTGGCAGTTATGTCATGGTGTAATTTGACAGTTATGTTATGGTGTAACTTGGCAGTTATGTCATGATGTAAGTTGACCGTTATGTCATGATATAATTTAGTAGCTATGTCATGGTATAACTTGGTAGTTATGTCATGGTATAACTTGGCAGTTATGTCATGGTGTAACTTGGCAGTTATATTATGGTGTACTATTACAGTTATGTCATGATGTAAGTTGACAATTATGTCATGATGTAAGTTGACAATTATGTCATGATATAATTTAGCAGCTATGTCATGGTGTAATTTGGCAGTTATGTTATGGTGTAACTTGGCAGTTATGTCATGGTGTACTATTACATTTATGTCATGATGTAAGTTGACAATTATGTCATGATGTAAGTTGACAATTATGTCATGATGTAAGACAGCTATGTCATGATATAATTTAGCAGCTATGTCATGGTGTAATTTGGTAGTTATGTCATGGTATAACTTGGCAGTTATGTCATGGTGTAACTTAGCAGTTATATCATGGTATATACTAGTACAGTTATGTCATGATGTAAGTTGACAATTATGTTATGATGTAAGTTGACAATTATGTCATGATATAATTTAGCAGCTATGTCATGGTGTAATTTGGCAGTTATGTTATGGTGTAATTTGGTAGTTATGTCATGGTATAACTTGGCAGTTATGTCATGGTGTAACTTAGCAGTTATATCATGGTATACTATTACAGTTATGTCATGATGTAAGTTGACAATTATGTTATGATGTAAGTTGACAATTATGTCATGATATAATTTAGCAGCTATGT